GTCCTGGGGTTTAGGGCCAGCTGAGGGCCTGGGAGCTCCTCTGAGGCCAGGCAGCTCCTGGACCCAAGTGGCTTCCCCCCAGATGGAATGGGGTTCACTCCCAAGTGTTAATTGAGCACACAGAGGCTCAGGCTCCTGGGCTGGGGTTTGGGGCAGGCAAGGCAGGCCTGGACTCTGCTTTCCCGGAGCTCAGGGCTACTGGGGGTGGGATCGTGGCCACCAGAGGCCAGTGAGATGACACGGCAGGATATGATCAGACAGTGGTACAGAAAGCCCGGGGTGTGGCGGACACCCTCCAGATGCCAGCTGAGGGTGATTTTGTGGATTTTAAGTGCACACATGGAGCAGGCCGGTCAACGGTCACCAGGGTGGTCAGGGCAGCTGGAGAGGAGGGGGAGGGAAACGAAGAGAAGGAGAAGCCGCCAGGGGCGCAGGGAAGGGCCTGGGGCTGCGGGACCTGCCCGTGTGTAGCTCAGAGGCAGGACCCTGTGAGGCACCCGGAGAAACCCCGGGTGGGGTCTGGAAGCCTGGTGACGAGTGGCCGTCCAAGTCTGGCAAGTGCTCAGCGCACTTTGGGTGCTATTTTGACCAAAGGGTCCACCCCTCCAGGGGAGGAGGCCTGCTTGGGGCCCCTCGGCTGGGACTGGAAACCCCGTGTGGCGGAGTGGGCTCAGCTTCCTGCCATGGCTCCCCCGCCCCTGCCTGGCCGGCCCCTGAGCCTGGGCAGTCCCTGGGACTCCCGTGCTGTGCTGGTCTCCCGCCCCTGGCTGGGCTCTCTGATCAGGGGGTCGGAGCGAGCAGGGAGGACCCGCGTGCAGCTGGCGCCCTGCACACCTGGATGTCCTCCAGGAGCTGTTCCCGGTGCCATCGGATCCTCTGCAGCTCCTCGGCCTCCCCGCTGCTCAGCTCGGCTGCGTCTGCAGAGAGAAGACCCTGGTGCTCCCCTCCTCTGCAGAGCCCGGGGCTCGCTGGCCCTGCACCCAGGCTGGACGTCACCCCGCCAGAGGCCCTCCCTGAGCACTGTCCTGAGCTGTGCAGGGTTCCCACCCCCATGGAGACTCGGCCCGTGGAGCCAAGGAGCACCTAGGATCCCACAGTCCCCGCCTAAGTGCTGAGCGCATCCCACCTGGGCCGGTCACCCGCGCCTCGCGGCTCACAGGACTGTGACTCACTCACTGTTTTATTTGCACCCACAGGAAGCCCCTTTCCACTTTCCTCCCACCTGTCGGCAGGGCGCAGGCCCATGGCCATGCCCAGCAGCAAGGGAGGCTGGGAAATGGGCCCCTAGGAGGGCGGCCTGATGCCCTGGCCCTGCCCACGGGAGAACTGGACTTGGGGGACGAGTTACAGCCCCTGTTCCTAGACACTGAGGCTCAGAGAGGAGAGGTGGCCTGGCCCAGGTGCCCTAGGGACAAGGTTGCTGCTCCGGGTGGGCTGGCAGCGCCGTCACCTGGAAGTGAACTAAACGAGGCGCGTGGGTGTGGCGGGTGGAGAGGCGCCACGGGGAGACCCATGTGGTCCTTCCCCAGCCACCGCACTCTCTGGTCGGGAGCTCCCGGACTCCCTGTCCCTTAGGGAGAAACGTCCCCTTCCTGGCCCTGGGGCTCCGTAGTGTCCCCAGCCTTCGTGCTCACCATTATCCACAGAGCCCCCCCCTCCCCCCGTCCAGCTGCTGCCCCACCCCAAAGCATCAGCCCTCGGTCCCACCTCCTGCTCTGCCCAGGCCAACCCTCCTCTCGGGATGCCTGCCCCTGTCTGTCCATCCCCATGTCCTGTCCCAGCCTTCGAAGGTGCTGGTCACAGTTCTCAAAGGTTTCACAAGGACAGACCTCACCTCCCCTGAGTGAACATGGAGAGAACACCCGTGGCTCCCGCGCCCCACGGCACTGCCTGAGCAGCCACCTTGGACTCTCCACAGGGAATGGAACCACAAGGAGCCAGAGGCCTGAGTCCCCAGGCCACCATGTGGGGCCACCTCCTTCCTTGGACGATTTTCTGAGAGAACACTGAGTTTTGAGAACACTTTGGTTGCTGTTATTCTGGTCTCTTTGTTACAGCAGCTAAACCTGAGCCTGACTCACCAGTATCCTTACCTGTGAAATGTGAGCACAGTCTTACCTCAGAGGGTGGCTGTCAGGAATGTGGAACACCCACAAGTGTCCAGCACATGGAAGGTCCAGCCCGTGCACAGGGCCCAGCTGTCCTCCTCAGGACCCAGCCACCCATCCCCCCCCACCGCTGGGGTGCAGCCTGCCCGTGGCTCACAGCCAGGTCCCTCCCTGGGAATTAGCCAGCTCAGCCCCAGGATGTCCCCTCCCAGGGACAGCCACTCCACTGAAAGTGCAGCCCCCTCCCGTCATTTCTGACTTGACCCAGTTTTCAGGCCTGCCCCTATGACACTGTGGCGAATGTCTATGGTGACAACTTCCTGTTCTTTGTAAAAAAGCACCTGTGACCTATTGCCCCACACACGGGGCACGGGGATCTCCACATATTCTGAGGATGTTGGCCACAGGAACCAGGTTGACAGGGGCACTTCGGACAAATGTGTCACCTGGGTCCCATCAGAGTGGGGCCTTCAGAGGCCAGATCGTGAGCAGGGCTCTGGCCAGGTCCAGCCTGCCCAGGGTCCACCTGGTTCATGGCCACTTTCCTGGTCTATAGACGTGGGGATGGAGTGGACATTGGTCCTGGACCTCACACTGGCACTATGGGGCCTGGTCATCACCGGGGAAGGCTGTGGGGAGCCCAAGGGGCCCAGCTAAGAGCGAGTAAAACGTGAGGCCGTGTCCTGGGGGCGGGGCAGGGTGAGCACTGTCCCGGGGCCTGCTCCCCCTTGTGACCCTGGGGACCACAGCTCTGAGCTGGCCACCAGTCTGGAGGGTGACCGCGGAGCCCACCCCTGGCCAGGGAAGGCGTCTGCACTGCAGCGCTGGGCGTGGGCTCTCGGCCAGCCCCTTGAGAGGGCTCGGACCGTCGTCTGGCAGGTAGGTTCCTGTCCTGTGTGGGGACCAAGGACGGAATGGGCACAGTCAGGTGGACACCTGGGATCAGACGACTCTCCTGCCCCTGTCAGAACAGAGTCAGAGGGGACCTGGCCACCGATGGTGACAGGGCGTTCAGCGAACAGATGAGCCGAGGGAGTACGGGGTGCGGAGGCCCCGGGGAGGTCCAGGCTCTTGGGAGAGCTGGCCGTGTCCCTGGAGCCCTGGGGTCCTGCCCCTTGTGAGCTCGTGAGGAGGGGGAGGCCCCCAAGCCTGGTGGCCGGTGGCTGGTCAGTGCTGGGGTCGAGGAGAAACTGCAGGTCTGAGAGCCAGAGGCCTGCGAGAAGTGTCCCCGAGACAGCGGGCAGGAGACCCGGAGGGCAGCGCTGTGGGTGGCACCTGGCCACCCGCTGCCTGTGGAAAGAAGGGGCCTGAGAGAAGGACAGACACTTTCGTGGGCAGCAGCGAGTGGCTGGCCTCCTACCAGGGCCGGGAGGGAGGAAGCCTGGGCGCAGGTGGACGGGGGAGGGGATGACCTGGGGTGGGCAGAGTGGGAGGCTTCTGTGCCCGACACTCATGGTCCTCCAAACGTCCTTGAGGACACACAGAACCACCACCTGACACCAGGGCCTGGGCCAGCCTCCGCTGGGCCGCCCTGTGGGGTACGCGGGTGTATGAATGGAGGAGCCTTGGGCGCTGGGGGAGGCTCTGGCCCCACGCCCCAGGGCACCCCCCGCCACTGTCACACTGAATGTCTAACCACTGAGTGGACACTGAACCGCGGTTTCTCCAGAAGGAGAAACTGAGCTCCACTAGAACGCACATGCTTTTATAGACCATCGCCATCTCAAAACAGCATAAATGGGGCTCAGAGGTGGCCAACGGATGCCACTGGACCTCTCTCTGCAAGAACACTATGCTGCCTGGAGCCGCAGGCATCCTGACCCCGGGTATATTTGCCTTTCTGTCCACAGAGCCTCGGCCAGTGCCACGTCCAAGGGCTTACAGAGAACACCATGTGACGTCACACTGTGGAGCGCAAGGGACCCCTTCAGAGTAAAGGTAGCATGGGGTGAGCCTATGTCCCTGGGGCCCCAGTCCTCACACAGATCACCACTGGAAGGCACTGTCCTGATGGATGGCGTGGAGGTGCAGCCTGGCCGCCTGCCTGGTGGGGGACCTGCCCACCCTGAACTAGGCCCCACCCACCCTGAGTCATGCCCCGCCCACCGAGAGCTAGGCCATGCCCACCCGGAATAGGCCCTGCCTATCCCGAGCTAAGCCCCACCCATCCCGAGCTAGGCCTCTGTCTTGGGCGTCTCCACTGTATCCCACACAGGGGCCAAGGGCACGAGGGAGACCGCCCCACGTGTAGCACCTCCTGGTGACCTCCCGGGAGCTGCTTTTTGTCCCTGCAATGCTGCGTGTCTAGAGGTCCTGCTTCCCCTGGGAGACAGGGGCTGGCAGGGCACCAGGCACGAGTCCCATGGAACAGTAGAGGGACCCGGGACCTTTACTTTATTTTACGTGGTGCTGAGCATCGAACCCCGGGCCTCACACGTGCGAGGCGGGCGCTCCACCGCTGAGCCTTAGCCCCAGTCTCCCACGGAACTGTCTACGCTCGTGGACACCTGCGCCATGCCTGCGGCTCTGTGCACAGTGTCACCTGGTCCTCGTGACTCTATAGTAGGTGTTTTCCATTTTAAGACACGGAGGCTCGGAACGGTGACGTGACATGCTCTGGTCACACAGCCAGAAAGTGGCCGAGCTGGGCAGTGCTGGGATCGAGTCCCAGTTCACTGACACCGAGGCTCTGCTCAGGGCCGCCGGGTTCTCAAGGGGGACAGGGAGGCTTGGAAGACTGAGGGCCGTCTGCAAGACAGGGACCTGGTGGGGAGGCGGCGCCAGGGGCTGGCCTTCTCTGCCAAGCTGGGTGGTGGGTCCGGGCCGACCCCTCCGGGCTCTCCTGAGCTCCGCTGTCACCTCTGCTAATGGGCCAGAGACCCCAGTCCCAGCTGCCTCTGAGCTGCCAGCGCACGTCCCTGCACATGGGCCACCTTGGGCACTGGAAGGAGCCCCTCGTTCCCAGGAGCCCCGACGCCCTCGGTCCTGCCCCCTCCTTCCCCTCCCACCTTGCCCCACCCTGACCACCGCCATCTCCTTGGAAAGCCTGCCGGGTTCCCCTGTCTTCCTGTGGCCCTCTGCTGTCCTACCCCCAGTGTCCCATGATGTCCCGTTGTCCTGAGGACAGAGGCCCTAGGTCCTTCTGGGCTCAGCAGCCCACGGTGGTCCCCATCCAAGGACCGGGCTCTGTGCCTCCTCCCCGGCTGCCCTGCGCCCTCCCGCCCACACGCCCTTCCTCCGCCGGTCAGCTCCGCCCACTCCCCAGTCTCCTCTGGCCAACCTCCTGTGCGTGGGGATGGGCGTGGCTCATGACGAGCCGTGCCATTGGTTAAGGGAAGGGGCACTTGCTGAGCGCCTACTGTGAGCTGGCCCTGCGTGCTCCCTGCTGTCCCGTCCACTCCTCCTGCACGACTCTGTAGGAAGGTGTTTCCAACCTCATCACACAGGTGAGGCACCTGAGGCTCAGAGAGGTTGAGAGAGCTTCCAAGGCAACACAGCCAGGAGGTGGCAGAACTGGGACTCACACCTGGGCCTATCTGGAGGCCTCCTCCACTGTCACGGGCTTGGGGCCTGCGGGACCCAAGGGTCTCTGACCCTTCATCTGTTAAAGGTGGAGTTTCCTTGCCACCTGTGATTCCACCTGGTGGTGGTGACATTACTGTCACCGTGTGGGCTCATGGGAGATGTGTTTGTGGTAATAAAAATACCCACAAATAGCGCGGTCCCAATCCCACTGGCCGCGGCCACTCCCTCCTGGCTAGGCCTGCGGCTGCCCGGTGCCTGGGGCAGCTGTGTGCCCGGCTCCCACCCCGGTGCCCGCCGGCGCCTCTGCACTTCCCTCTCTCCCTTCCTCTTTCCTTCTGTATTTTTAGAAACCTTTGCGCTCATGGCCCGGCTTCCAGGACAGCTGGGCCACTTCCCCTTCCCGGGCCCAGGCAGGAGGCCCTGCAAGTCCCAGCGCAGGAGGGGGCCGCCCGCCACCCCACGACCGGCGGGCACCCCTGTGTCCGGCTGTGCAGCGCCACGGGGTCTCCTGCGGTTGTCACCTTCCCACAGGGCCCCGGGAGGGGCCTGACCGCTCCCCACACGTCCCCTGCAGGGGGCGGGCAGCGCTGGGGACCTTGGCTGCCACACTGTCCACACTAGAGGTAGAAGGGCCAGCAGGAGCCCGGGAGGCCGGACCCCGCGTCCACCTGCCTGACTTGGAGTCCCCGATCACCCCACCTCCCGGGTCAGGCCAGACCTGAGATGACACCGCCAACCGAGACCCAGTCTGGTGGCAGGGGTGGCGCCCTTGCTGCCACCTCCCCAGGAGTCGTCCCGGGGGAGAGTGGCTTCCCCCAGGTCTGCCCACTGCCGTGTCCTGCTCAGAGCCCGCAGAGCCTGTCCCCTCTTCCCACCGGCCCACACCTGGGCCAGCAGCTGCCCCACAGGAAGGCCGGCGGCGGGGACGGTGCTGTCCCAGCATCACACGGCCCCAGGAGGGCGGTCACAGAATGAATGGAGGAGGAGACCTCCGCGGAGCCGCCTCGAGAGCCCCCCCCTTCCCCCAGGGCCCCGGAAGCCAGGCAGCACCCACCTTCCGCCAGGCCTCCTGCCCCCACGACCGGCCCCCGGCTCTCGGCTCCTGCCCTTGCGTTGCTCCTTACTGCCAGGGCCCGGCAACCAGGCCACCCCGGAGCCTCGGGTTCCTTGTCTGCACCCTGGGGACAGCCATCCCTGGGACGTCCCTAGGTGGGACTCAAAAGTAATGACGGTGCACGGCTGGTGGCTGTGGCCCCACTCACCCTCCATCTCCACATCCGCTGAGTGACCTCCAGCCCTGCCCTCGCCGCCTCTCCTCTCGCCTTCTAGCTGTTCCCTGAGCTGTGGTCACAGCCCGTGCAGGACGGAGCCAGTGGCCCCGAAAGCCCACAGGACCATTGGAGGCAGGAGCTGGGGGAGGCCAAATCCTCCAGCCTCCGCCTCCCGAGGCCGTCCCCTCCTGCCTGTTGTTGAAAGGGACAGAGGTTTTCCTGCCCCGTCCCCAGAGCCCCCGGGCTTCCCCTCTGGGTGCCCATGTGCTGCTGCTGGTGAAGGTCAGGGTCACCTCCTGCAGCCAGTGCCGTCTTCTAGGTGGACTTCCGAGCCGCCAGGTGCAGGGATGTGGCCCTTCTCAGTCCCAGCCCTGGACCTTGGGGGTGGCCGTTCCTTTAGCCTGGAACGTTCTTTCCCCGGATGCCCTGCAGGCCACTTCTCCCCTCCTTCTCTGGTCAGTGGTGTCTCCCCCGGGGGCCCTTCCTGCTGCCCTCTTCCCCGTCCTGCTGTGCCACTTGCTCTCCCGTGGGCCACCAGCAGACACTGGCCACGAAGTCTATTTGTCATCCATGTCCCCAGAGCAGAAGCCCAGGGGCTGGGACGGTGCGGCTCTGCCCACGCCCTGAGGGAGAAAGGTCCTGCCTTTCCCACCGTGTGACAATCAGGACACCGAGGGCCAGGTCCCTGCCCACCCTGCAGCAGAGGACACAGAGGACACAGAGGCCCCAGGGCTGTGGCGCTTACCTGGGTGACACAGGTCCATCCCAAGGCCCTGGGGGAAGGTGGCCCTGCTCCCGGGCGTTGACCCGGCAGCTGCTTTGGTGGCCAGGCGGGGAGTGTCACCTGGCTGTGCCAGCCTCCTCCGGCCCCGCCCAGCCCACGTGGGAGGAAGTGGCGGGGTCTGCAGCGGCACTTCCTCCATCAGTTCTGCCGAGGACCTCTGCATGTGGGGCGTGAGCGGGGAAGGGACCGCAGGGAAGAGAGCGAGGGGCATGAAGAGACAGACAGACAGAAGGAAACACCCAGGGAGGACTGCTGGGGACAGCACCTGCTCCCCCAGCTCGGCATTTGCCCAGGAGCCCGAGGCAGGCCAGGCGTGTCCCGTCCTGGCTGAGCCCAGGATGTTCCGCTCCCAAAGCTCCTTTCATGGGCTCCCACTTGAGAAAAGTCCCGTTCACTGAGCACCAGGGAGGGCTTCCTGCTCGCTTCAGAGACGTGCGGCTTCTTCCTGTCGAGGGATCTGTGGGGAGTAGGTCCTGTTTCCCCTTTCTCTCGGGCTGCTGGGAAACTCTTCATCAAATCTGAGGTTCATCCAGGCTGTACTGACAGCAGATGGACCTCGGGCCGTTTGACCCCCAGCTCTGCCACTCAGGACCCGTGTGGGCTTGGGCCAGTCTGCACCGAGCCTCGTTTTGCTGACCTGTACAAGGGGGTGATGGTACTCGCCCCAGGGATATGGCTGAGAGGGCCTGAGTCGATGTGTGTGGGGTGCTTAGGACGCAAGTTGCTCCAGAAACACTTCCTCCTCTTGGCTTCAATTTTCTTCATTGGTTAAAACTCACGATCGCTTTGCTGGAGCCTTTTCTGCAGCTTGATTGAAATTCTTCATGGAAAAAGGTGCAGGTTAAGAATTACCGACCAGCAGACCCTCATCCGGGAACCCCGAGGCCCGCGGGGTCTGTTCATCTGCTTCCCCGTCCTGTGGAGGCCTGTGAGGGTGAGGCCACCCTGGGTCCCGGCCTCTGACAAAACGCGGGGAGAGCGAGGGCGGTCAGTGCCTGAGGGAGCGGGGGAGGGGGAGGGGATGGAAGGTTCCGGAAAAGGTGGGGGAGGGGCAGGAGCCAGAGCCGCTCCTCCTTGGCCCCGGACTGCTGATGCCAAGATGACTCCTCCTCCCCTGGACCCTGGGCTGGCCCAGCATCCCCACTGCCTCCTGACTGCGGTCTCCCGAGGGAGGCCACTAAGCCAAGCCACCCTCACTGTCCAACCCTTAGAATCGTGAGAAATAATAAACCGCCGTTTTTCCAAGTTTTGTTTCTAATTGAGACCTCATGGTGCGTATTCGCGGAGCGCTGTGGCATTCTGACACTGGACGCGAGGCATCGTGACCACATCAGGATGACCGGCCCAGCCAGGTGTTCACCTTCCCTCTGAGTTGGGAACATTCAAAGGCCTCTCGACTTGCTAAGGCTTTTGTCCTTTAAGTCACCCATGTGCGGGCTGTTTTGTTACACAGTGAAACTCACTGATACAAACGAAATCCTCAAGAGAAAACGGAGGCTCCCGTCTGCGACGTGCTCCACCAAGCGGGAGGCTGAGTTGGTGGCTGTTCAGGCTCAGAAGCCCGGATGTCAGCTCCCAGCCTGGCGAACCCAGGACCTTGAACCTGCGTCCCTCCCCCAGTTCTGCTCAACTCAAGGTCGTTTCTTGGGAAACGTGTTGAAATTGTCTCCGAGGTAAAACAGGTTTTGCTCAGTACATTTGAGCCTGAGGCACCAGCAACTGTTTCAAAAAGAGAAGGGAGAGGAAGCACACTCCCAGCCGGCGGAGCTGCTGTCCCCAGCAAGCCCGGCTCACAGGGCGGCCTTGGTGGGCACCTGGAGCACCCACTAGCTACCCGCAAGGGATGAGCGTCCCGGGGCCTGGCGTGTTGGTGTGCGATGGGCTCAGGCTGGGGTTTTCAGGCAGGTCAGTGGGAGGCAGCGGGCAGTGGGCAGAGCGGGCATCGTCTCTGCGGTCCCCTTGGTCATTTTCTTATTTCCTCTCAAGGACTTGGTCTGGGCAGCATCGGGAGGCCAGAGGGTGGCCTGTCCGGCATCTTGGGGCTGCCGAGGGTCTGGCCTGGGAGCCCGGCGGGGGGCGGGCGTGGGGAGCACAGGAGCCTCCCGGTGGCCTGCCCTCCCTGTGGCTCCTCCCCTGTGTTTGGCCCCTGGCCCTGCTGGCCGTGGGGGGGCGCCGGGAGGCAGAACCAGGCACCCGGCAGGGACAGGAAGGTGTCCCGCTCTCCAGAGGGAACCGTGGTCAGTAAAAGGGAAACCCATGGCGCAGGTCTCCGCAGCTACTCTGGTTGTCAGCAAATGACCTCAGGCCGGTTTAAACCAGAACTCACTGGCCCCGTCCTGGAAAGGAGGCATCCGGACACCGGGACCCAGAGGTCCTTGTCTGTTCCTTCTCAGCTCCAGGCTTCTGTCACCTCGAAAAAAGAAAACCCCGGGAAAGGCTTTGATTGGCAGGTCTGGGTCTCGTGCCGGGTCCGTGTCCAGGGGAGGGACAGGCCCATCAGAACCACAAAGAGAACTTCTCTTTCTCCAAAAGAGCTCGTCTCTTAGGCCGTAAACCAAGGATCAACAAGGGCAGCCCCATCACCACGATTTCTTGCAGATTGTAATGGAATGAAGCTAGGATCCGACAGAGAGGGAAATGACAGAAATGACAGGGACACGAGGAGACGGGACGGTCACTCATGAACGGTCAGTGGCCACCGGTGAAACGGGGGGGGAGGGGAGGGGATTCACAAATCCCTAGAATCAAATGAAAATGGAGAAGCGACCTGCAAGACCCCGGGATAAAACCGCGGGACTCGCGGGGGAGTTGGGAGCGAGGAGCTGGAAACTGATCTCAGATGAGCTGGTGCCTCCCGAGGTCTCAGGAAGACAGGGACCCACCAGCCGAACTGGGGAGGGAGAAGGGGCGGGAGCAGAGCGGGATCAGTGAACCAGAAACTAAAGGTCTGTTCTCTGAAGAGATGAGATTGACAGACCCTCCCCGGGTGGGGGGGGGGAAATGAGAGAGAGAGAGGGACCCAAAGTGACCAAACGGGAAAGGAAAAGGGAGACTGTTACAGTAGATCCACCGAGGTCCCGAGGACCGTCGGGCTGCTTTGAAATTGAGATTCCGACAAACTGGCAGACCTAGAAGGAACGGATCCGTCTCCAGACACAAACGAGCTACGCAAATCGGACCAAGAGGACGGACGTGAGGACCCTGATCAGATTAACGGAGAGCAGGAGGCTGAACCGGGAGTCAACAGCACAGCACAGAAGAGCCCCAGACCACGGGACTCACAGCAGGTTCCCAGAAGGCGCCTCACTACTGCCCGACGCAGAGGAGAAGGGAAGCTTCCGGATTCCTCCTTCAGACTGGCATCACCTGGACACCAAAACCAGACAAGGAAAAGGAGATGACCAGCCAATTCCCTGGATGAACATAGACACAAAATTTCCTTTTTTAAGCATATAAAGCAGGGTTTATTTAAAAGGGGGTCACACAGACTTCTCCCGGGAGGGAGCTCCTCCCGAGCCCCAGCCCCAGCCCACCAGCCTCTATGTGTCTTGGGCTCCTTTATTCTCCTGCTCTCTGCCCCCTGACCTCTCTCCTGTGACCTGTGACCAGGCCCGGGGGCTGCGGGTGGGGTGGCCCAGAGCTGGGCCGAAGGGGCTGGTAGGGGGAGTGATCTGGGCAGGAAGGGGGTGTCACGAGGGACCATCCTGGGACAGGTTGCCTTGGCCACAGGTTGGAGCTGGGGCGGGTGATCTGGATCAGGTGGACGAAGGGCCTTTCAGCCCCTCCGTTCTCTGGATCTGGCCCTTCCTGTCTGCCTGACTCTGGCTTCATCCCTCTGCAGTTTTAGGAACTCCCGACTGCTGCGAGGAGAAGGGGTGATAACCACTCACAAAAGTTCTTAAAGACATAAACAAAGATCACACACCACGATGGAGTTGTTTTCCTTCCAGGGATGCAAGGCTGGTTCACGACACACAGATCAGTCAATGAAACACACCACATCAACGGAAGAAGGATAAAGATCACGCGATCATCTCAACAGATGCAGAAAAATCTCTTGACAGAATTCAACATTGCTTCGTGATAAAAGCTCTGAAGGAAGGACCTCACCTTGGCATAATAGATACCCCATCCCAAACCCCACCGCCAACACCATACGGAATGGGGAAAAACTGAAGGCGTTCCCTTTAAAATCAGGAATGAGACCAGGATGTCCACTCTCGCCCCTCGTATTCAGTACAGTACTTGAAGGTTTAGCCAGAGCAATTAGACAAGAAAAAAGAAATAAAAGAGAAAAAAGGAAGAAGACGAATCACCCTTTTCTGCAGGTGACATGAGCCTGTACTTAGAAGACGCTAAGTTCTCTGCCAGAAAACTCGAGATCTGATACACAGATTCAGCAAAGTAGCAGGATACAAAACCAATATTCAAGAATCGATCGCTTTTCTATACACTGACAACAGACCCGCTGAGAAAGACATCAGGAAAGCAACCCCATTCACCACGGCTTAAAAAATACCCCGATAGACCTTACCAACAAGGTGAGAAGGTGACCGCGGGAAGGAGATCACAGGACATGGGCACGAGAAATGTCAGAAGCCTCTCGGAGGTGGCAGGAACTCCAAGATGTTCCTGGATGGGCACCGTTGACATCGTTAAAATGGCACGTCACCCGGAGCCACTGACAGATAGAACGCGATTCCCATCAAAACCCCGATGACACCGTTCAGCTCAAACAATCCACATCCAGACAGGCCTAAAAGTCACACGGAAGCAAGAAGTCCCCAAGGGTCAGAGCCATGCTGAGCAAGAGGAGCAAGGCGGAGGCACCCCGGTGCCGATTCCAGAACATTCTAGAGAGCCAGGGCCACCGGGGCAGCGCGGCGCTGGCACAGAAGCAGACGCTCATCAATGACCTGCACCTGAGACCCACAACTCTAAGACTGTTGGAAAGGACCCCCCGGGAGGCGCTTCAAGATCAGGTAGGGCAACGGCTCCCCGAAGAGGGCACTGGCGGCTCAGGAAATTCAACACGGGGCGGCGTCCAGGCAGAGAGCACCTGGACAGCAAAGACCGCGACCGGCAGAGGGAAGAGCCAGCCTCGGAATGGGAGAGAACCTGCTCCAGCGGCTCCTCCAACAGAGGGCTGATACCGAGAACGCCCAGAGACCTCAAAAACTCCCCCGAAACCCAGCTGATGAACGGGCAAGTGGACTGAATATACACTTCTCAAAAGAAGGACAAATCTCCAGGCGCTGTGGCTCTCGCCTGCAATCCTAGTGGCTCAGGAGGCTGAGGCGGGAGGATCACAAGTTCAAGGCCAGCCTCGGCAATTGAGTGAGGCCCTAAACAACTTAGTGAGATCCTGTCTTTAAATAAAATATATATTTTAAAAAGGGTTGGGGACCTGGCTCAGTGGTTAAGCACTCCTGGGTTCCGTCCCTAGAAGGAGGAGGAGGAAGAGGAGGAAGAGGAGGAGGAGGAGTCCATTACTTGTGTGAAGAATGTTTGAATACCTTCAGCTTCAGGGAAATGCAAATTAAAACTACACTGAGTCCATCTCACTCGGTCAGAATGGTTATCATCGAGAAAGCAGAAAATAATAAATGCTGGTGAGGTCGGGGGGAAAAGGACTCCCATACACTGTGGGTAGGAATGTAAATTAGCACCGCCACCATGTAAATCAGCCTGGAGGTTCTGCAAAACACTAAAACCGGATCCACCACGTGATCCGGCCGCAGCACTCCTCATATCTACCCCAAGGAATTAAGGTCTGCACACTGCAGGGATCCCTGCCCCACGTTTATCACAGTCCAATTCATAACAGCCAAGTTATGGATCAGCCTGGGTGCCCGCGGACAGCTGAAGGGCAAGGGGAGCGTG